CACCGCCGGAGCTTTTTCTTTCTGTTGCAGGTTGCTAAAGCCATCTATTCTGCCTGTGCTCTCCAGCTGATCACTAAACGGGCAGTGTGGTCAGATTTTCACCCACACATCTTCTTAAACAGAAAGACTTGTTGATAAAGAAATTTCAAAGTGATTAGGTCAAGTTTGGCATCCTTCAAAAAATTCAAAAAGTCAAAAAGTCACTATCCTATTTAAGTCACATCATCTTATTTAAATCACATCACCTCTCTAACATATCACTTCAAACCCAACCCATATTTCATAAAAAGTCAAAAAATACACTTATTTAGTCTTCCCAAACTTGACCTAAATATATAACATAAATTGCTTTCAAATTTATATAAGCCTTGACAGATCTAATGTCGGATGAGCAGCCTTTGAATTCCAAGGAAAAACAAAGTGGCTCTCCACCGTTTGTTTAACTGGGTCCCACCATCCAGTAAGAACCATACATTATTTTGTTTTGTTTTGTTTTTGTTTTTTCTCTTTCTTTTGTTTTTAGGTGCAACTAATAATCATTCACTAATAGATGATATGGATCAATATTTTTTAAAATAAGAACTCTGTTAATAAATTTAAATTTAGATTTTTTTTTTTAAATTTAGAAATTTACCCTCTCAAATGTTCTGTTCATAAGAACAAACCCCATAAAATAACTAAAATATTCCTTCTCACCAAACCCACTTTATTTTTGTATCACTTTTAATCCTCTTACAAATCTCAAATCTCTCTCTATCCATTTCATTCTCTCTCTACTTGTACAAATCCTAAGTCAATGGCGGTGGTTCATTCTCACTCTTCTCTCTATCGCCACTGAAAGAACATCTCCACTGTCGCACTGCCTAGCCAGAGCAACTATCACGACCCAAACCCGTCTCTATACGTTTAGCGTTGTGACCAGCCAGTAATCCTATGATTACCAAAGGCCTCTGAGACAGATTAGCAAGATAAGGGGGCTAGCAGAAGCAAATATTAAGCATATAATGTCCATAAAACTATGAAGACTTATATAAGATAGGAATTTCAAAACTTTATATACATATATAATCACATCATTCTTATGTCACCCATGACAGATAAAACAAAATGGGACTTAGCCTATTACAGATAAAGAAAAACGTAACCAAAAGACGCAAGCAAACGAAAACTTAAGACTAGTTTGCGTGCCATAACACTAGAACACAAAAGACTTCTGGAAACCTCCACGTGAGGCACATTGGTTAGCTTGACAGAAACAGATCCAGAATGGAAGTCTTAAGTTTGGTCAAGCGCCTCATCACCTACATACATAATATAAATAATGAGCTGGAGCCTAGTGAATAATAACAGAGTAAAAGTTTTATGAAGGATATCCATAACAGATTCAGAAATCAGAAGTCAGATCAGAAACAAATTCATATACATATTTAGTTTCGTAAACAGTCATACATAGTACATCCATTAGTGCTAACAGATTAGCTTTGTTATAAAGACGCACTTGCAAAGTAGGTGATCATAAAGACCCATATTCACATGAGATGGTCATTAAGACCCACTTACAGATCAAATAGTTGATTAAGCATAATCAGTTCCATGAATGGAACCGACATGAAACCCTGGTATCAGATAACAGATACACATGATGCTAAGGATGCCACGATACATTTCAGAAATAGGACAATCATTTATCTATACAGAAACTATCATTTCAGAAAATAGAACTTATCATATTAGGCAGAAAATACATATAATTGAACATATCTTTACAAGGTTGCTACTCACAAATAGCTCCAGAAGCAGAACAGATGAATCAGATAGACAGTAGCGTATGACTTACACAGACACATAACGGATATACCTTGAAACACACGTTCCGTAAATACTTAACTTATTACGTTTCTTCTTAAGTGTGTTTCTAATTCATATCCTTATTATTATGGCTTAAACCATGACTTAAGAATGTCTAAGATGGAATGAGGATGCAATTATACAATTTAAAACACTTAGCAAAATTTCAGAAAACAGGGCAGTTCTCTTGAGTGAAGCTTTGATCGCTTGAGCGGTCTGCAAAGTCTGCAAAAGTACTGGGAGCTTTCATTTCATGTTCGAGCCAACTTCTTAGTTGCTCGAGCTAAGACTGAAAATAAAGGGTGGTCGCTCGAGCGGTCTTTTGGTCCCTCGAGCCAACCATCAATATCTACAAAACTTCTGAGAGCTTGCAAAGTACGCTCGAGCGAACCCTGCGAATTCTAGAATTTTCAAATTTCTTCTTCAAGTTCCAAAACACAATCTTAACACATCAAAACTCATCATTTTTGGTCAAAACTTAAGAAAACATTTAGAAACTTGTAAGATATCGTGAATAAAAAATCATTTCGCAAAATCAAGACCCAAAAGCATGTTAATTCTTCCAAAATCAAACTTGAAACTTTATGTATATGCACATGCATGTAATGATATGGATTCAAAACTTCCAAAACATGCACAAATGTAGTGTTTGAGTGTGGAATCATAGTGAGCTCTCATAATTTGACAAAAATAAACACTTGCATGTAAGAATTGAGTGAAAACTAAACTCAAAATTCATGAATTATGCATGCATGCAATGATTGAACTCAATTCTACATTCTAAGCTCAATTCCCACGCTTAATCTTTTATTTCACTTGATTTCTTTCTCTAAAAAACTCATGTTCATAATTTAAAGGTTGAATTCTTACCTTAAATCTTTAGTTTTGAAGGTGTGGGGGTTAAATCTCTCAACTCCTTCCAATTCACTACCAATTCTTAGCAACTCTCATTTTCTCCTCTTTCATCTTGGTCTCTCCCTCACTCTCTCTTCTTCTCACGTTTTGGCTCAAAGAATGAAGTGTAGAGTGGGAATGGAATGTTCTTGATGCAATATTAGCCTTATATAGGCTTACTTAGCATTTACAAACTAAGAGTGATTAAAACTAATCAATCTAGCTTAATTAAATCAGTTTATTCTAATTATTTTATTGCGAATTAGTTTTTAATTAAACTTATCATAATATTCTAAAAATTCTAAATAACGGGTTGACTTATCAATTTCGTGCTCAGATGTCGATAAGGCTCTCAATTTTCATATCAAAATAGAATTCTAAATAGATAATCCTACGACAGGCCCTCAATTTTGAGTTGATTTTTTTCAGGCTCTCTGATTTTTATTTAAAAAAAAAAAATGTAGTATCAATATATAATGACTCTTGAAAATCCTAAGTGATTCGTGATTAGATTAAGATTTAATTATTTTAATTCCCAATCATTCAAAACACACAATCTAAATCATCAAGCACTTACGAAAGTGATTTAGATTGTTGTTTTCGAAAAACAATAAATCGACACAAACGATTTTTACGTGGAAAAAACCACAATTGAAACACCTTCAATTGTGATAAAAAAACCACAGGTGAAACGCCACTAATCAATAAATTACTGAAGAAAGAAAGATTACAAAGATAACAAACAATTACCCACATGCTTTCAATTTGTCTTCAAATCTTCTGTATATCTTTCACCGCAACCTTCGTCTTAGAATTGATTAACCTGAAGTTGAATTCACAACTTCACTTGTCGAATCAACGACTACGCACAAAATCAAACTCCTTTGAATCCCCACGTTTGAATCTTCGGATTCCACCGAAGAAGAACACTCTAGAATATAATCAATCAACTTCCTTGATATATGCTTATCAATACATGAGTTTAATACTCACTCAAATCATCAAGGAAAACTCATCAAAAAACTCTAAAATAAAACCCTAGGAAACCTTAAAGTAAATCTCAAAACCATAATTCTAGTTTAGAGCTAAAACAGATACTTATAGAAATCTGGGACTGCGAAGCTCGCTCGAGCGAAGACTCTCTCGCTCGAGCGAGGAACTTATCTCGTGTGATTTCCATAAGTGGCTTCGCTCGAGCCACGCAACCTGCACTCAAGCATACATTCACCTCTCAGGTTTTTTACAGACGCCCTCTTCGCTCGAGCCACGCAACCTGCGCTCGAGCGTACTTTCACCTCTCTCAGGTTTTTTACAGACGCCCTCTTGGCTCGAGCGAGGAATCTTTCGCTCGAGCGAGCAATACAATATAGCTAGGAAATTTACAACTCAATAACTCAAGTTTGTTCGTGGGATTGACAAGACTAAGGGACCTAACAACTCTAAATTGCTTAAATTGTCACATTTCATGAAGAAGCTCCTACTAAGTTGGAGGAAAACATTATCTTAAAAATAACAAGAGAAGAATGTCGTGATTTCATTAAATCAAAGCATTCTTACTTTTGTTATCTCTGCCAACAACTCCCATTTGCGATCTCTCTGGCTCCTTCAACTCTTACACTACAGAAAAAGAGCAAAGATGGGTCTTCCAGAGGCAATACCCAAGTCTGGAAAGTAGAAGCCAGAAAAGAGAAAAAGAAAACCCAACGATTTTTGCTCTGAAATAGCTTGTTCAGGTCCCTGAATTCCATTTTAGCTCATCGATGTCGCTGTCACAAACAGAACGTAGAAAACTGTGTCCGATTGAAATCAAGAATCAGCTTGCTGAAGTCAAACCACGGCAAAAGGGTTGTTTCATCTTTGAGGTTCCAAGGAGCCTCCAAAAACTCGAACTCGATGCATATCTCCCCCACGTTATTTCAATAGGCCCTTATCATCATAGAAAGCATGAGCATCTCAAGGAAATGGAAAAGCATAAGAGGCAGGTTTTCAAGCATTTCCTCTAGAGGACCCAATTGAAACTTGAAAGCCTTGTGGAGTTAATGTCTTTGCTCGAAGACGACACACGAAGCTGCTACAACAAGTCCGTTGAAGATTTCAATAGCCAACAATTTGTGGAAATGATGTTGCTCGATAGTTGTTTCATACTCGAGTTGCTCTATTCCTGTGCGACTGGGTGGGAGAATTCGACCTACCAGTCAGAGTAGTGGTATCCGATTATCTACCGTGGTTTCTTGCCGTTTATACAACGCGACTTGTTAATGCTTGAGAATCAATTGCCACTTTATCTGCTTGTGGCCTTGGTTGCCCACGCTTGGCACGAAGCCCATCCTACTACTAGTACTAGTGTTAGTACTAACAATATTACCATACCACCAGCTGATGAGTGGATTCCTTACCTTGAGAGAATGACAGCGTATGAGTGGGTTGCTAACCTTGCTCTGAAGTTTTTCCAGCCGGTCATTCCTGGGGTTTACGAAACACCACCCGGGTATACGCTAAATAAACTACTGCTTCACCTCCTGGACATCGTTCGCCAGATCTTAGAACCAGCATAACCTGACGATCATAGGCATGATGATGAGCTTGGGCAACAACACAACCCTCAACTACCGACCCATTCTGTTAAGAGGCTATGGGGAACTGGGATTAGTTTGAGAAAAAGGGATTCGCTGAAAATCACAGATATCGGTTTCGACAAAGGAAAGGGAAAGCTCTTAATCCCACCCCTTCGTATCCATGGCTCCACCAAGTCGATCTTCCTTAATCTCATGGCTTTCAAGCAATGTTATCATCGAGAAGGGGATAGATATATCACCTCGTACATCAGTTTCATGGACAGACTAATAGACTCTGTCCGAGATGTGGAGTGCTTGCAAAAGAAAGGGATTATAGTTCACGACTTGGGAAGCGAAGAAGATGTTGCCACTCTCTTCAACAATCTTTGCAAAGAAATTGTCGTTCCTACAAATACCAACAGTTACTATCTCGCCCATGTATCCTGTGATCTCAATAGATATTACACAAAATGGCGTAATTGGTGGGCGATATTGAAGCATGTGTTAGGATCAAAGACACCCAGAAAATTATCTCACACACACAGAGAACACAATATTTACGTGGTTCGGCCCAATGCCTACATCCACGGACAGAAATGAGAATTTTCACTAAAATGGAGCAAAATACAAAATACAGAGGAGGAGATAAAACTCACTCAACTCACAGCTCTCACTCTCTAATTTCTGATCTCTATCTCAAACCCTCCCATCAGCCTCCATTTATACACTAACAGAATAGAGATGGAGGGGCTGGCCAGCACATGGCCAGCTTGTGCCAACTCCTTCTTCACATGGCTAAAGGCTTCCTAACATGGCCAGCTCTTGTGTGTTGGCTTTGCACATTGCCAACTCCTTCTTCACATGGAGAATCATCCCTCACATGGGTGATGATATCCCACAAATCACCCCCTCAGCCCATGTGAGGTGATCCACAACAAAACCTGCTGCCAAGGTATCAAGCACCCCCTGATTGGATGCCCTGTACCCCCTGCTCGGGATACCCTTGCATTACCGTGCAACTCCTTGCATGATGAACACGGGAGCAACTAGAAAACTTCAGAGTTTGACACATCAACATCCTCAATTTTCCTTGCTCGGAGCTTATTTCTGAACTAAAATATTAAAAAACTATTCGACTAGTGCCTTAAAACTACTTTTGATTGGAATTTTTTTATTTTAAAAAAACTACTGTGACAAATTAATTTTTATTTATTTATTTATTTATTGTTAATTTTAAATAAATGGCCAAATAATTTGTCATTTTGGTCTAAAAAAAGTAATTTCTATATTTAAAAAAATATCAAAAACAATTTTTTTTTTTTTTGCAAATAACATGTGGCAATTGCCACCAAAAAAAAATTTTGTTCCGCTAAGATATAATTCTTCCTTATTTTTTTTAAATATTTTTTTAACTTCACCTTAATTCCAATTATACCTTCCACTTCTTGGGACCCCACCTCTAACAAGGCCCTCAAAAGCTTCTCCATAAGTTCAACATCCAACTGAACTTTTTAATTTTGATAGTTGAGAAATTGATATAGACCATATGCTATGGTTTAATTTTATTGATTTTGTCCATTTGATGTAAAAGAGAGATTTAGATAAGCTTTTAAAGAGTTTTATAAAAGGAATTTTTATTGATAAATCTATTTTGGAGTTGTTATAACCCGTTAGGTCCATAAAAAAATATTATAACTTGATTAGTCCCATAAACTTTCTTTTTATTCCATAAGGTCCATTTTTCTAATTTAATATATTTACTTGGACTATTTTGCCCCCATATATATTAATACGTATTTAAATATTACGTGGTTGTTTCCTCGCTGATTCAGTTTGGCAGTTTCTATTTTACGTTTTTCTTCATCAATCCAATTCCAAGAGATACGTTTATGTTTTGCATACTCGTTCCAAGGATTGGTTGTGCTAGGGTTTCATTCTTGGTGTTGTAGTCTGGTTCTGTGGTTTGCAAGTGAAGACGACGAAGAGGTAGGTGTTCGACTATCAAATTTTTCGGACTATAAGTAGTTCGAATCAGTTGTTTTCGACTTTCTGGAGGATTGTAGGATTGCATGATTAAGGTTAGTATCAATTTGATTATGAATACATGTTCAGTTTATGGTTTCATTCGTATGATGGATCAGATGCTCTGTTTGTTGATTGATATTGATCGAATGCTTTGTTATTTGATTGATATGGATCGGATG